CTTATTTTGTGTTCATAAACACGCTTGTTAAACTATTTGCGTATTTCATGTCCCCTTTATTGCAATTCCTCTATTTTGTTGCTTTCCTTCTTTAAAATGAACTCAATATTTTTCTCAATTACACGGAACCTTATTTATTATTATTCTATTATTATTACTCTCTTTTTCAAATCTGGCAAATATAATGCTAACTATTGAATTTTGTGTATTATTGCATTTTTGAAGAAAGCCGAAATGGTTTCTTCACAACACTAACGTACCCATAAGATGTTTGTGAGTAATAATAATAATAATTTCTTGATAGTTAGTAGTAGCAAAATTTTTACTGTATAGTGAACGGATATTTTTTGATTTTTTCAATGTTTGAAATAATTGGTTATTGCTACATAGTAAGGTAATATCTACATCTAAAATTAGTTTTTTGATGAAATTGTTATTTGTTAGTGATCAAAAGATGCTAGTCGAAGACGTTATTGGATTGACCTAATAGATGGTTTTTCGCTTTTAAATCAAATACTTGAATTCTATTAGTCACACGATTTTACATGTGCATAAAGCCGACTAAGTATTGACAGTGTAGTGGCCGGTATTCCATATAGTCCTAAAACTTCGTAAACAGCTCGTCCTGATAACCGTAACTAGATAAGGTCCCCAACAGTGATTTATTCAAAAGAGTAAGAAGTGTTGATTACTTTTATTATTGCATCACGTACAAAACAGGAATAAAAGGCTTATGCCGAAAAGCAAGTGAGCGTTTGAGTTTACGAGATTTATATATATATATATATATATATATATATATATATATATAGGGAAATTAGTGAATCATCGAATCAATTGGGGGACTAAAATTAAAACTGACAGAATGAATATGTGCGTAGGTGGTAGGCAATGCTGAAGCATACATGTCCATACAAACTCAACAACGCTTAAGGTGCAATGGTATAAATAAGTTGTTGTTGCACAAATGATTCTGTCCGCTAAATAAGTTAGCAAAAAGTGAAGCATTTCAGAAATGACTGTATTCTGAACCCACTGAAGATGTTGCACTAAGTAAAAGCGTATTTCTGGCACAGCTTGTGCATGTGATTCCTATTATACGGCATGCGTTAATACAATAATTATTATCTTAATAAGATCACTGAGGAGATTTCACTTGTAAGTTGAAAATTAAGATGAAACAATCGTGCATTTAGTAGGTTTTAGGACTCCGATAAATTGCCAAATGGTGTTTGTCATAAGTGTAAATTAATGCTTGTGGCACAGCTGCGACCATTCACAGCCCATATTCGTAGTATCTGGGGAAAAACGTAGCACGTTCGGACAGAGAATCCCATCTCAAGCATCTAGATCTTGTTTTTGACCGACTACAAAACATGGCATTACTGAAGACATTCAGAACAAAAGTTGCAGCTATTCTCGATTACCCAAAACCGACCACCATCAAGCAATTGCGCACGTTTAAAGGCCTTGTAAGTTTCTATACGCGGTTCATACCCAAATGCGCCTTAATTATGAAGCCTCTCACCGACCAACTTCATGGGAATGAGAAATCCATCAATCTGGATGACACCGCGCGAAAAGCATTCTCCACGGTTAAGGAACTGATCGCTCAAGCAACAATGTTTCCTATTAGGACACTGAAGCACTCATTAATATCGCAGTAGACACATCCGACTCAGCAATCGGAGCAGTCTTACAACAATGGAATAACCACTCCTGGCAACCTTTGGCATTTTGCTCTAGACGGTTGCTAGACACTGAATCGAGGTGCAGCACATTCCGTAGGGGACTCCTAGCTATGCATTGTGCTGTACGGCATTTTCAACACTATATCGAAGGCCGAGAATTCACCTTTTTTATTGACCATTAACCTCATCTTTCTCTTTAAGCTCTTCTTCAGACAAGTACTCACCACGTGAGTCTCGACAACTGGACTACATTTCGCAGTTTACTTCAGAGCAAACAATGTAGTTGCAGACGCCTTGTCTTGTATAAATTCCATGAACAGTTTCCAAGGAATCGTCCCTCTAAAACTCGCTCAGCTTCAAAAAGAAGACACTGATCTTCAGCATGAGTTGTCCTCAACAACACTTAAACTGATCATCAAACAGATAGTAACAGGTAAGGAAACCTTACTTTGTGACACATCTACAGATAGGGAACATTATCGATGCAACATCTTCAATACGTTGCACAAACTTTCTCATCCAGGTGTTTGTGCAACCATCAAGCTTATAGCAGAACGTTTTCGCTGGCCTTTTATGAATAAAAACGTGAGGGAGTGGGCACGCTCCTGTGTAAGCTGCCAGAAATCTAAGGTTATTAGACATAACGAATGTCCCTTTGGCTCATTTAAAACTCCCGATGCTTGCTTCGACCATGTTCATTTGGGTTTGGTAGGACCCTTACCAGATTCAAATGGATTTTCTTATCTTTCAACCTGCGTAGACCGTTTTACTCGATGGCCAGAAGCAGTACCCATCAAGGACATTGCTGCTGAATTAATGGCCCGCGCCTTTGTCGAACGATGGGTAGCAAACTTCGGCTGCCCAACGACAATCACTAAGGTCGTAGACGCCAGTTCGAATCTGAACTTTTCCGTTGTCTGACCGCAATATTAGGAATCACTCACAAGCAAACGGGTTAGTAGAACGCTTTCATCGACAACTAAAAGCGTCACTATCAGCCGCAAACATTTCTCAGTGAACTGACGCACTTCCACTCGTCTTACTAGGTATTCGCAATGCAGTGAAAACTGACATTGGATGCACTGCGTCTCAGCTCGTTTATGGAACGACACTTTGACTTCCGGGAGAATTCACTGATCCTTCATCCTCTTCGATGAACATGGATCTAACCTCCCACACAAACAGGCTTACAAAAGCAAAGCGTTCAGTTAAACCTGTTTCCACTCGACCGCAATCAACTGATGTTTTTGTTCAACCTGAATTAGGATACAGTACACAAGTCTTTGTTCGTCGAGACTCGCATCGACGACCTCTGGAGCCAGAATATGAACCTTTCAGAGTTCTTTAACGCGGAAACAAGTACTATATAATCGATAAGAACGGAACCAACGGCAGAATCAGCATCGATCGCCTCAGAGCAGCGTATTTAGAAGGAAATCCTATTCACGTCGATTTTCCTTCAGTACAATCGCACGGAACGAATCCCACATTTACAATACCTCAACAGAAAGCCTACACGCACGATGATACTTTGACGGTATCAGAAAATAAAATTAAAACAACGAGTTCTGGAAGAAGAGTAAGATTTCCAGAACATTTGAACGATTACTGCACGTAAGATACAAGTTGACATTTTATATCGTCTCAGTTTTCCCTTGTACTATATATAATTTGAAAAAAGGCAAATCTGATATGCTTACATATTTTTATTTTTACCTGAAAAAACGCTAATTTATTAAAAAAACAGGTATATATTCCTTTGTGATCATAAATTAAGAGTGGAAATATAATAACTATCAGCCTCAGTAGAGATTGAAAGCGTAAAATTCAAGAAAAATGTTGTCGCGAAGGGACAGTGAAATTTTGAAAACGCCTTGACCCACCTTATGCTCTAAAACTTATTAAAAGAATAAGCTGATAGAACAGAGAAACAAGTACATTTAAAATGTGTGAGTCACTCGTTATTGTCAGAAGAGTGAATGTTCAAAGGTACAAATATATATCCACAGTCATGATGATGTAGGAAAAATAATTTGAAGGAATATCGATCAAAGATTCAAAATATTCGTAGGTTACTGACAGGACATATACTGTATGACGTCACCTCAATAAAGTGCAAATGAGTTAAATTAATTCCAGTGATATAGCACAGATGTAGTATATAACGGAAATATTTCTGTAGACTAAAAATGTAGATAATAGGTATTTTGTAGTTCAGTTGTCATAATCACAGGCATTTGAGAACGAGAGACGTGTGTGTAGCAGTGTATTTATTGGCGACTAGTAGAGCGTGGCATGCTATGAGCGGTTCAAAACTCAAGAAAGAGAGTTCAAAGTCATGCAATTCCAAACAGCTTTTACAATCGTTTGTGGTAAATGCACGAACTATGAGAATTAACGAAATAAATGCAAATAATATCAAAAACCATTTACATAATAAGTTTATCGTGCCTATCCGAACATTAGCTTCAGTCTTCAGTAATAAGTATAGTAGGTTTGTGAACGTCTGTTAGTCCCGACAGATTGTCTTCCAGTGAAGGTTCAGCTTCTCCTTGTAAATATCTACTGATAGGGCCAATACCACTTGTTCGGGTAAGGCGTTTCAGTCATCGACCACTCTATGAGAAAAACGGGACCCCATTTTAAGTTTATTAGATTGCGGATTATGAACCTTCTTGCTATGAACTCGTAGATTACTAGTGCTGAAAGGAGCAAACAGGTATGACATATTAACACCCTTATCGTAATTAAAGACACGAAATGCCATATTGTAGCTAAAGCCATGGTGTAAATGTTTGGAATTTTGGATGATTCAGTTTGTCTGCTATCTGATAGGATTAAGAATGAGCCATCGAAATTCAAGAATAAGCCAATCATCACAACAACTAATCTTCACCCATCTAACATGTTGCGGCTACTCAATACTGAATGTATATGAAAGACTTAGATTTAACTTTGACGAGCGTTTTAAGGAATATTCAGTGATGAGGTTTGCGTTATTGTGAAAAGAATTTTAGCTTTCTGTCCCTAGCTGGCAGAATAAAACTTTAACATTCCTATCTGTTTGAGAATTATGATGGGCTTAAGAGAACAAGTGTTTTCGACACATTTTGAATAACTGCCATAATCTATGTTGTACTACCAACCTATTATTAGTAAAAAAAACAGAGGACAGTATATTCTTAATTTAGGGTTGCAGTGTTGGAATAGAATTTTTCATATTATAAATTTTGTTAAACATTGTCTATATGGATGGTAAGAGTGTTTAGAAGTCAGTGTTTGTCTGCATCCAATCTGCACAATAGGTAGGTACAGTGCGCGACTATCAACTTGTGGACGTCTCTTCACGATGATTGGCAGCTGTTTTTCCACTATCACTAGTCTATAATCTTCTTATATCAGTTGTCCAAAACTACTGTAAATATGGACATTAGAAGGAGGACAACCTATTTGTCTCGAGGTGTCGATGGCCGTCCGTCGCACAACTACAGTTCATTCTTTCAATCTGCACAGAAAAAATATTGCAATGCAGATCCTGAAAGTGGTATTCGTCTCGTTGGACCAATGTTTGAACTAACTGCTTGTGTAGAGCTTAAAGGAGAGTAAGTTTTTGAAATGTACACGGAATACATCCATGCATTACTTTAATTTCTAAGTAATGCTTTCATATGAGGACGATCGTGTTTTGTCTTACCTACAGAAATGTAACTGAACAATGTCGTTAGGTATTCTAGTTATCCAAAAAATTAACCCAAAGACTAGGAGGCAAGTTTGACTTATAGGTAGTTCTCGAGATAGCTAAAACGGTTTGTTTGTAATACCAGTAAATGTGGCCCTTAGACTACAGGTTAATACCCACTTGTGTAAAGGCATTGATTTAGGTCTTTGTTATATAACGTAAAATGGTACTGAGCGTTCGTGATTTAGACAGGCAATAGTAATGCTCGATCCATAGCGTTCTTGAAGCAGTTCTTGTTGGAACCTGGAAGGGGGTTTAGTAAAATCCCCATTACATTTGAAATTCAACAAACTGTGCTAGGGTTGAGACTCGACTAGATGCTTTTTGTCAGTTTTCACGTCTACCAATCCACTTACGTCATTAACATGATCGAGATTTCTTGTTTCGCGGTTCCACGTTTACATTTAGACTAGTGATCACGAAATAGCACCTCAGGGTTCCCATTTGACAGTGATTTCTGCTGAGCTATAGCAAACATAGAAATATTTGCAAGTTTTAATTATTAGCAACACTTGATTTAACTGTAACATAAATTTAACGTGTTATCCTCGAATATTCTACGTGAAATAGGCCACCTAGGTATGATTTATTCTCTTCTCATCAAGTTGGCACAAGTCCTGTCTTCAGTAGCGTGTTTCCACCTGGTTCTGCTTAACCCTTTCAGAAATTCTTGCAGACATGTTTTAATATTCACTGAAGTGATTCGCGAAAGGACTAGAATAAAGTAACTAATATATATCCTAATATCCCTTGGTCTTCAGCCATGCGACTCCGTAGCTTGAGTATTACAATCTTGCAAATACCTAACAGATATTAGACAATGTTTGGGGTATACTGACCAAGTCTACACCGAGTTCTTGAATTTATGTATGCTCACCAATGACCTAAGCCATTTATTCTGTGGTTTAAAGGATGCTCAACCCAGACTATGACAGCAGTACGTTACGACAGGTAGATTTTAAATTATCTATCGTAAGTCTGGGGAGGATTTGGCGAGACTATAATATATGGACAGACCAATCAGATTTACGATAACTGGTCTTAGATTTTGGTGCGAAATTCACTCACCTATTTGGTTAAATGAGGTATTGGCACTATAGCTGATATTTCGTGATGAAAACAACAAAACTAATTGATAACCCTAACCATCAGCTGTAAATTATAATCCCTATTGTTCAAACTACTTTATAACCCTCCTCTAGCCCTAGTAAATAGGGAGACACTCAAGGGCACTTTAATGTCGCTCAAAGGTCGTCCATAAATTATAGTCTCGCCGAGAATTTTTTCCAGCAATAGCTGCCAAGAAAGTGTAACTACTTAGTCCCTAGTACTCGCATACATGTTTCCGTTAAGTTTATATAGGAGTGTACAGACTATCTGATTGGAGTCCTCGTAATTATCGTGACCAATGATTAGAGACTTTGGATGATGACTAGAAAACTTCTGAAATGTGCATTCACTCTTTTCCTTCCCGTAGATCTTAAGTTTGTAAATTATCCTGTAAATTGTTTTTATTCCATGACTCCATATTTTCCTGAACCACATCTTCGATGCTTATCTTTTCTGTTACTATCAATACTGTTGCTACCGCTACTACCCTGGTATTTGCCCTGACGATTTTTTCTCGCCGTACGAATGAGGCATGTCAGTTTCAGTGCTTGTACACATGTACCAAGTTCTACGTTTGGTTCGACTGGCTGACTAAACTGCTCATAACCATACCATAAAGTTATTTATTTTTTGTTCTATTTATTAGCGAGGAAGATTTTGAAACGATGTACCCGGATACATCACTTTCATTCGGCCCAACTATTTGTTCATTTGGCCTGAAGTATAACGATCATAATTACGCCCTTCCTTCAGGATTGACTCCTCCCTCAATGGCACCCCATTTAATGGATCTTCAAGTTCCGAAAAATAAATTTTCAGATACAAAGCTGAACAATCCCTGTTCAAAAAATTTGTTTGCTCAAAAGTCAGGTTGTAAATTAGGGGCTGAAGATATTGGACAAAAACATAATATTGATAAGCGTTTCGATAGGCAAAGTTCACTTACTTTTAAACGCTCCACACTCGAAGGGAATGGTATGTACAGTAGTGATGGTAAAAAGCACTCTAGTGGACTATGGTATTCTAAATCCATAGATCTCGATGACAAATCGATGGCGGATAGTGATTCGAAGGATCAGTATATGCCTTCACGATTTGGCTCACAAATTTCCAATTATGAACAAATGGAGTTACGATGTGAACCTGAGTTGAAGGTATGTAGAGTTGATATATTTTCACGAACGTTAGTATGCTATTCACTTCACAATGCTTAATTTTGTAGACTTATGAAGATTAGAATGAATGCTTTATGTGTTTTTTTTTCGATAGCTTTGATTATGTTCGCTTAGCATCATCGGTTTTGAACTGTTTACACAACTAATATTGACATACACCTAGTAAGTTTCCAGAATAAACGATCACAGTGTTTATTCGGATTTCTAGATCGAAAAAATCATCACCATTCTTATTACACAGTGAGCTTATGGTCTAAATTTCATTTATATACTGCGTAATACTCATTTTAAGACAAATGGGCAATAATTATGATTATTTATTTATTTTAACACATAAATATCGGTACAAGAAGGCACCAAATACATATGCGCCACACAGATCTCATTTGATATGTGTGAGGGCTGTGATACTCCCCGGGTGCCCAAACCGAAGCAGGTGGTTTTCTCAGGGGGCCACACCGCGAGCCTTCGACCCGAAGATCTGATCCACAAGGAAGTGGAGCATCGTGAGGAGATGCAGTCCCATGGTAGCCGGTGACCAACGATTGGTTCATACGCCATTTGTTCCGTCAGGATACTGTAGCCCATGTGCACCATTGGTTTGGGATCCGGTAAACAACACCCCCGCCACGAGAAGGCAGTGAGTAGGACTTCCCTGGCAGGGGCTGTATGCGCGTGGCCATATGAGAGCATTTCGAGAGGGGGAGCGGACTCCCCCCACTCTCGGCCATACCAGGGCATTTGGGGGCAATAATTATGAAGTGGATCAGGGACTTATTTAATAAGAAAGGAATCGGTGGTATTAAAATACCAAAAACAAAACTAATATGTTTTTTGATTTGCAGTTGCATTTATGTACTTGACCACCTTTGGACTCCTTATAAAGTATCAGCACTCGGAAAAAATGAATGATAAGGAAGACAGGGACCCCATGTCAATCCTACTCAACGTATGACAAGGCGAAAATGTGCATTTACTCAAGTTACTAGACTTCAGTGCCGATAAAAAATTAGTCGGCATAACAGTGGTATTAATTTCAGACAGTCATAATTGTCGTAAGACCTTGTGCAGTTGCGCGTTAGCCTAAGTTGTCACCATTTAATCAGCAAGATATGAAATTAATACGATGAACAGCTAGAAAGTTGAAATAATGGGACTAGCATCTATGATAAGAAATACTAAACATTAAATTAGTTCAAGAAGACAAAACCAAAAGTTAAGAATAAAGGAATATTGGGATTCAAGATCAAGATTTTAAAGAGCAAGTGTATTTGCACTGCTGTGACCGTTTCTGAGTTATTTTAACCAACGTTTAGTCACTAGTCACGGTTACCACACCTAGGCTAACCAAGTAGTCTGAACTTATCATTAGTCAATATCTTCATGGGCAGACATCACTTCAGGTTTTCTTAAATTTGATCCTATTCCAACTAACATTGCGCGTCAGGGTTACTTACACATTTTCCGTTTAACTAAGTTGAAAACGATCTTTGCCTAGTATTCCAAGTCCGATGTCATTACTGCCACCAATCCTTAAAAAGTACCTAAGGTCAAATAGAACGTACTGCCGAAAAGTACGCTTGCTTTGGAATATTCATACGGATGTTCCACGTAAACTATAAGTGGTGCAAACGGGCGAAACCGAAGTAAAATTTATCCATGTCGAAATTCCTTCAGATAGCAACACTTTAACTAATGAAACTCCCAATATATTTAAAGCGGTTAATGCTCTCATCTACTTCACTGTTTATGGTCAGACGAACTTGATGGTGACTTGTCTTAAAGCTATATTTCACATTTAGAAAGATAGGAATGGATCTCGAACTTCCTTACATTGTTATACAAGGTCTTTAAGATAACGTGTTTCGTTAATTTTATCGCCAAACAACTATGTTATAAGCCAAGTGCTGGTCAACCAGTAAGCTTTGTAGAAACGAGGTCTACGCGTGAAAAGTTAAATGGAAAGTGTAATTTTAGAGGAATATATGTATAAGTGAAATTTCGTGATAATGGGAATAACAGTCAAACCTAACAAACATTTAAGTCCGATTGTTCAGATGACAACTATGTGCTTCTACTTTACTTATAGCGTTAGTGTACACACTTACGCCTGTTACTCTTCGTGAAGGAGCATAGGCCGCTCACCAGCATTCTCCATCCAACCCTGTCCCAACCAATCCTTTCAAGCTCTTTCCAGTTGTTATTCATCCTTTTCATATCCGCTTCTATTTCCCGACGTAATGTGTTCTTTGACCTTCCCCTTTTCCGCTTCCCTTCAGGATTCCAAGTTAGCGCTTGTCTCGTGGTGCAGTTTGGTGATTTGCGTAATGTATGTCCTATCCATTTCCATCGTCTTTTCCTAATTTCCTCTTCAGCTGGAAGCTGGTTGGTTCTCTCCCACAAAAGGCTGTTGCTGATGGTATCCGGCCAATGGATGTTGAGTATCTTGCGTAGACAGCTATTGATAAATAGTTGTACCTTCTTGATGATGGTTGTTGTAGTTCTTCACGTTTCAGCTCCGTACAGTAGAACTACCTTGACGTTGCCCCCAAATGCCCTTGTACGGCCGAGAGTGGGGAGAGTCCGCTCTCCCTCTCGAAATGCTCTCATATGGCCATGCGTATATATCCCCTGCCAGGGAAGTCCTACTCACTGCCTTCTCGTGGCGGGGGTGTTGTTTACAAAAATGAGAGGACGAAAAGCGAATGTCTGGCTCTTTAACCGGACCCCAAATCAATGGTGCACATGGGCTACAGTATCCTGCGGGAACAAATGGCGTATGAACCAATCGTTGGTCACCGGCTACCATGGGACTGCATCTCCTCACGATGCTCCACTTCCTTGTGGGTCAGACGTTCAGGTCAAAGGCTCGCGGTGTGGCCCCCTAAGACAACCACCTGTTTCTGTTTGGGCACCCGGGGAGTATCACAGCCCTCACACAAATCAATTGAGCTTTGTGTGGCGCATATGTATTTTGGTGCCTCCCTGTACCTATACTTATGTGTTAAAATAAATAAATAAAACCTTGACGTTGGTATTGAATATTCTGACTTTGATATTGGTTGAAAGTTGTTTTGAGTTCCATATGTTCTTTAATTGAAGGAATGCTGTCTTTGCTTTGCCAATCCTCGCTTTTACGTCTGCATCTAAACCTCCTTGTTCATCAATGATGCTTCCCAGGTATGTGAAGGATTCTACATCTTTTAGAGTTTTGCCATGAAGTGATTGGATTGCTGTTCTCCGTGTTGTATTTGAGGACCTTGGTTTTCTCCTTGTGTATGTTGAGGCCTACTGATGCAGAGACTACTGCTACGCTGGCTGTTCGTGTGTATGCGATAGGAGGGCTATGTCATCTGAGAAGTCCGAATCGTCTAATTTTTTCTGAGCTGTCCTTTGTATTCCGTGTTTTCCCTCAGATGTCGAGGTCTTCATAATCCAGTCGACCATTAGAAGAAAGAGGAAGAGAGAGAGAGAGAGAGTAGACAGCCTTGTCTTACTCCGGTCCTTACTTGGAATGCATCTATCAGCTGTCCTCCATGTACTACTTTGTACTGTAGTCCGTCGTATAAGTTCCTGATAATGTTGACAATCTTCTCAGGAACTCCGTAGTGTCGAATAAGTTTCCATAACATTCTCCTATATACACTGCCAAATGCCTTTTCATAATCAATGAAGTTGATGTACAGTGACGAGTTCCACTCAATTGATTGTTCGACGATGATCCGTAGTGTCGCGATTCGGTATGTGCACGACCCGTCCTTACGGAATCCAGCTTGTTGATCTCGAAGTTGAGTGTCTACTGCGTCTTTCATCCTGTTCAGTAACACTCTGTTAAAGACTTCCTGGTACTGACAGTAGTGTGATGCCTCTGTAGTTTTCACACTTGCTCAGATCTCCTTACCTTGGAATCTTGATGAGGTGTCCTTCCTTCCAGTCCATCGGCACTTGTTCCTCTTCCCAAATCTTCTTGAATAGAAGATGAAGCATGTTCGTAGTTACTTCGATGTCTGACTTCAGTGCTTCAGCTGGTATATTGTCGGGTCCTGCTGCTTTCCCGCTCTTGATTTGTCTGATGGCCATTCTGATTTCTTCAGTCGTTGGTGGATTGACATCTATAGGAAGATCTGTGTGTGCTGCTTCGATGTCCGGTGGATTCATTGGAGCCGGCCTATTCAGGAGTTCCTCGAAGTACTCTGCCCATCTGTTCCGCTGTTGTTGAATTTCAGTGATTGGCCGTTGTTGCTACCTTGACGTGGTGGTCTGGCTTGCCTATCGTGATGAAGCAACTGAGCTATACTGGCTGGAACAACCGTTCCTCAAGGTTCTACCATGCCAGACAGGTCGGTTGAAGAGCGGTAAGACTAAAAGCAACAAAACCTAGGTCCGAAGGCGAAGTCGTACTGCTAACTGTACAAAGGTGTGACAGCAGTAAGGTGTTTCCTTCAGACAACCAGCATAACAGCGATGCTGCCTTCCCACAATTAGGGGTGGTGGGGTTAGAAAAGGTCGACCCTAAAAATGCACACCTCGCCTTATCCCACGGATATCCGTCTCCGGTGGTAAGGTCTCAACAAGTACGGAGCTAACACAAAAATTACTCATAAAAAGGTCGTGTGTGACCGACCTCAAGCAGCTGTCCCTTGGGCACTGCGGTCACGCTCTCAGGTCACTAAGACCACCCCTAATCCAACTTACTTTTCAGACACTTCCAGCAGAACCTTTCCACGGTGTGGGCAACCGGGAAGTGATAACCGCCCTCACACCTCTAACCTCGTATTTCCTTCTTTGTCTTTGACTGGTCTCTCTGGTTTACTATATTTCCCTGCTAGTTTCTTCGTAAAGCTGTCTCATATTTCCTTCTCTTGCAGCTTTCTCCGCCGTCGTTGCTAGTTCCACGTATTTCTGCTTGTCAATTCTAATGCTCTTCTTCATTTGCTTGTTTGCTTCTATGTACTCTGCTCGTGTTCGGCTGTCAGTCAGTCAGCTGCAACGTAGGACCAGGCACGTATATGCATCGGTCCAAGTTGCCATACTGCATTAGCACAAGATGAACATCGGATTCATAGGAGTAGTTAATTCAGTGGTGGTAATATATAGAAGAAAGATTGTTCTTCCTTTCTTTGATCCTGTCCAGTGTTTCTGTAGAGATCCATTCCTTATGATGATGCTTCTTGAAGTCCAGAACCTCTTGACACGTTGAAGTTAATGCTTCTTTGATACCTTTTCAGTTGTCCTCCACAGTAGTTTCTTCTTCCTTCAGTAGATCCTGTAAGGCTTGGAACCTGTTGTTGAGAGCTATCTTGAATTCATTAAGTTTGTCAGTATTTTGAAGGAAGGCTGTATTGAACCTTTGTAGTGATGTTTGTTCAGTTGTCCAGTTCTTCTTTAGCTTCAGTTTTAAATTTGTCACAACTAGGTGGTGATCTGAAGCTATGTCCGCTCCTCTCCTGGTTCTCACATCTTCCATTGTCCTTCGGAACTTTTTATTGATGCAAATATGATCTATCTGGTTCTCTGTGGTGTGGTCGGTGAGATCCATGTAGCTTTGGGTATACGTTTGTGTGGAAATATTGTGCCGCCTATGACCAATTTGTTGAATGCACACAGTCCGTGCAGTCCCATGATATCTTCATATCCAGTGTTTTCTATTCCGACTTTGGCGTTTAGATCTCCCATCAGAATGGTGAGGTTCTTTCTTGAGCACTTCTCTATGATTGATTGCAGCCTCTCATAGAATTGATCTTTAACGTCGTCGTCGCTATCATTGGTGGGTGCGTAACATTGGATAATGTTCATTGTGATCCCCCCTTCTTTGTTTCGAATGATGCTTTGATGATTCTGGATCCGTGAGATTCCCGTCCTACAAGTGCATTTCGTGCTACTTTGGACAGCATTAGAGCAACTCCTTGAGTGTGTGGAGCATTTTCCTCTTCGTGACCGGAGTATAGCAGCATCTCTACCGTAATTAGCCTTTGTTGTTCAGCTTGGGTCCAATGGGTTTCGCTGATTCCCAGTACTGCCAAGTTGTATCTCCTCATTTCCGTTGCTATTTGACTGGTCTTCCCGGTCTCCCACACTGTCCAGACGTTCCATGTACCTATAAAAATTGTTTCTCTGGTTGTTAGAAGGGGCATCGGCTTCGTGGCTTCCGAAGGAACTCGGCTTTCACCCTGAGGCGTCATATTTCCTCTAAATGAAGACCTTCTAACTCCCAGGGCAGAGTTTGAATGGTTTGAGTTATTTTTTCTGGTTAGCGTTTTTTTAGCGAGTTAGTTTTTTACGGGATGGAGTCCCTAACCCCATGCCTAACCCTTCTCTTTTACCCGGGCTTGGAACCGGCAGTAACTCTAGAAGAGCTGCAGGCGGAGTTATAGCGTTAATGTAGTGTCGTCATAATGTCCACATCCTTCTTTGGTACCTCGGTTGCTCAAACACAAAGCGTATGGTACGCACATCGGAGACATAGTAATTACAGGTGGGTGTGTTAACCATGAGACCACTGCCTCATTATAGAACGGGTGTCTACTTTCAAACTATGGTGATAACTAAGTTCCTACTTATTTTGTCCTGAATCGTCAAGATACTACTTAAAGCTTGTAATAAGTAGGCTATTTGTTAATAATCATCAGCTTTTATATCTTGTAGGTTATTGAAGTGCCTGAAGAACTGGCAGTTTCACCTTCTCAGTTAAGTGATTTGGATAGTGACACATCAGAAGTAGATTATATTGCAAAGGTAATCTTATATTTTTACGATTCATTCACCATTTCAATATATTACTTTTGTAATTTGTTATGGTGATACAGTTTATTAATGATTACATATTACATCAGACGTGACCACTTGGTCACTGGGAATGCTTAACCTTGATCCTTTTCACTCAACATAATTTGGAGCCACATAAGAGCTCTTAAAAACTGCAGGTGAACTTAAATCTGAGTAGAGCATTTCCATTTTCCATGTCTAATGACTGGAATTTGTTGTTTGCATAAAATAGGTTAGCCAACTAGCCGTATTATATCTAAGAGTTTGTAGATAAAATACTTTCAAGTATAGGAGTTTAATCTTGTGGCAGACATTCAAGTCACTTTGAACAAACCAATGAGATTGGATGTACATTTCCTTATCGTGCATTCTCTATTTTGACATCTTTCTTAGATCGAGCAATGTGTTGGCTATCACTGCTGTTACCTACTCTGAGTTGTTTACTGCTTGCGAATGCGTATACAATGTCATAAATTCTCTGCTTATTTAATTATCTTTCTATAATCAAGTGGTAAATCATAACTTGTTAACTTTTACGCAGAGTGGTTGATCTGTCTCTGTAGGACTTTTGTCGATCGATGGAAACTAGCCGAATTAATGACTTCATACAGTGTTGCTTTTGTTACTTAGGCTGAATTTTTAAATTTGCGCTAAATCTATTGGTAAAGCGGTGTCTGATTATTGTTTCTTTTGTCTTCATACTATCGTTCACGCTTGGTACAATCTGAAATTGACCACTTTCCAACTGAAAAAAATACCATTAATCATAAGTTGCTTTTTTAAAACAATGAACAAAATAAGTGTTTTTTTCATCAACATTCCTTAAATATATATTTCAGATCGTTATTCCTTCCGATGGATCATATATTCAGCCGGCTGTTGATAACGCTTGGGTCGGTAATAATGTATGGGCTGATGTCCGCTGTGTGTGTGGTCACTCTCAACCTAAATCTGGACTTATACGATGTCCCAAATGCAGGTTTGTCTCGTCTTTTTATTTTTAAATTAGCATAAAATCTTGTTATTGAAAGATCTAAAACAGTGATTGGGTGACTGGTTAAACCTTTCGGCTTTCAGCCATTGGTCATTTTAACATGTAGTTGGTAAAATGAGTGACGTTGACAAAATGCTGAAATAAATATGTGATACAAAGCTTACTGTTTTACTATTTTGTTCGGTATTCTGTAGTTTTTAATTTTGTCCTTTGTTAATATTCACGTTTATTAGAATAGCATTTGTATAGGCGCCTTCTATATTTTGAAGTTATCCAGTATTTTTGAGGCGTAAATTGATCTGGATGTCTTGTTAGTATTCCTCTGCTGATTGGTAATATGCGAAAAAGTCTTAAAGAAACTGTTAAAGTTTGATCAAATGTATCACATGTAGCGATATATAAAATTTTTTTTGCGATTACTAAACATTTTGAATGTCCCTTAAATAGCATCACGGTAGTATAAATTTCATCTCAGTTAATATTGTGTGGTCTGGAAAATTTAGCTGCATGATAATATTTTACAAAACTTTTACATTAAATGATTACTATTGACGTATTATCTATTCAAACAACGTAAAACTTTTCGCACGTCATCGAATCAAGTGATAATGATTTAATCGACACAATAAAGTATATCTATATCTTGATACAATTTGTTTAAGTCATCGTAAAGTATGTCGTCCATATAATAAAAAGCAAGTTCCCCGGTTTAAGCTAATGCATCCACTATTTACATATCGAAATGTGTGACGCAAAGTAGCTCCTAATTTCAGTAATTAGTTTCAAAAACCACTTATTTATCATTTATTTGTGCTTGACCTATCTTAGTATGCGATTTAGCATCGTATTATCAAGCAGTAATCTGTTTGGGCTGTTACAATAATGAATTCATCTATTTCATTTCCTCTTCACTTTATCTAAATAATTAGCTATCGATTCATAATGAAGCGAAATTGATGTGATAAACATCCAGTAATTTACAAGCCAATTGTTAAGTTTTTTCATTTGCTTTAAGTTTCCTTTGTGTGTTATTTCTATCTTTTTTATTGAATGCTTTACTTTAGTACTTGTCAACATGTACAGTGTATGGAGTCATATTATAATGTTACTATGCCTCGATTGAGTGATGGATATACCTGCAATGTATGTGGAAATGAAAGTACTGAATTTCAAGGTACATCTAACCAATCATCGGACACAACAACAAATGCCAATGCAAACAAGGATTGTGTTGCTCTAAATGATGATACTACGAATTTTATTGATGCTGCTAATAATTCGTCAATAAAATTGACTCAATCTTCTGATGGGAACATTGGAGCTCAGTATGTAGAAGTTGCTGCTGATAGAGCCAAAAGATTGGGTCTTTTGTCGAATAACTGCAAACTGGATGCTGATGGTTCTACGTTTTCTGGGTCTTGGTCTGGTCACTCTGTTGTAAAAGAACATGATACTACTGGACGTTCTGGTTGGTCATCTGTGAATTGGGAAAAATTGGTGAGGCTAGGGACAATTTAAATGATAAAGAAACAAACTTAAAAATCTCCAATGGCAAATATGAAGACTTATTAGGAAAACTGATAAACAGTTCAAAGGCAAATAATTTTGATAGCAATATTTTCTGATTACTAGTGTAGAATTTTGAAATTTCAATCACATAAACATTCTAAAATTCTGTAAAGTCAGTAGGTTTGGTTTTTCAGAGTTGTATGCTATGTGTATACACTGCATACTGTTATTGTTCTGTGGAGCGGTGACAGTAGTTACCGAGACGTTCAACTTTAACCATTAGGTCACAGGCTATAAGTCCTGTTTCACTTAATTAGACTTTGGCAGACTAGTAATATTGCTGACTCTCCCAAGTAGTATTTAGCTCAAAGGCCTGGGTATATAAATCTGTATCCCTCAAATTACACTATCTCGTTCATTTGTATTGTGTTATTATTTATTACTTTAGTATTACCACTTTCTGATTTTTAATAAATTACATACATTCGGTGCTTTCTTGGAGATTATATATTCGGTATTTAAAAAACAAGTGTGAACTTCCATTTATCGTTAAAGTTTTCATTACTCTTGAGATAATTCTATATTTCCTTACATAGAACGAAATTTCTCGTTCCGGTCGCAGGCATCATGGTGATACAGATGTCAATTTGAGAATGCCATCTCCTCCAAGAGCATCCAAGAGGAAGCAAGACCTAACTTCTACATCGTGTAAGTGATTTCATTCTCCTTTTGATTTGTTAACGTTGTAATTTAGTATTATCTGTATCGTTGTTTTGATCTCCCGTATACATGTCTCCAAAAGGCCTGTATTCCGCGACAGTTGAAACTGTGTAGACGATGTTTGACCACACATATTTTGGTAGCTTTATTTTATATTTTCATATTTCTGCATAATTCGTTATTCCTCTCATAATACATGACAAGTTGTTCTTTAACTTATCTTTCTAAAGCTGCGTTCGTTTTTTTTTTAGAATTATGAAAGTAGTCTTCGTTTGTTTTGAATATACATGTAATCCCTGATCTAGACGTTTGTTTGTTGTAGTTTACGGGTTGTTCCTCGAAACATTTTCCGTTTTCAAGGAATCACCTAAATTTGTTTCATTGAGAAGAACTTGGGTTCTATTAATTTAGTTTCTCTTATTCATGTTTAATTTTCCAGATAATGACACAGAAGTTGCCACAGCCGATTCGTCTTCTGAACAAAATTCCAACACTACCGTTATTTTACCAAATAGTGGTGATGAGTCATCTTCTGTAGATGTAACACCTTCGAGCACACCGTCAAATACTCCAATGAAACCAGGGACTTTACCACTCACTCCTGTTACTCCCACAAGTACACCTGGTGGCACGCTTACACCTGGTTCTGGATACAGTAGTTCTTCAGGTGTAGAAGGCAGTCCACGTCGTCACAGACTAGGTATTGATCGTTCAACTAATAAAGTCAGGTAACTAAAAGTTATATCTATATTTTTCATACCGCATTTATCTACTCTATTTGTTCAGTAAACTGAAGAAAGTTTCCAGTTGAAAGTCAAATTCATTAGTTTTAGTCTCTACATCTGCTATCAGTTTTAATGTTTGAAACGCTCAGAAAGTTTTTTTAATGCTGTTTTACTATCATTTCTCTAGCCATTTGAAATCCGAACACTAATTTTTTGCATAATATTCATATTTACTTACTAAAAGAAATGCGGAATTGAACAGGTTATTTTTATGATTACATCTGTGTTGTACTCTGACCAGTGTATGGGTTTGCAAAATTATGAAATGTTCTTAATAATACTGAACATTTATTGCATAGTAGATAAACATTTTTTGATGTATATCACTGAAATGTAGAATAAGGGTAATCATTTTTCCATCATTTACTTATTTTATGTAGTTACACGTTTGTTATCCACTAATGGTATGAATCAATTGCCAGCTTATTGGAACCATCTTAAGTATGATTACTGATTGATAAGAATGTGTATGATAATGTTCATTCTACAGCATGACACGGTAGGTCTGTTAACCTTAAATGTGAAATCAGTCGTTAATCTGATTTTAAGTATCAAGTCCTCAAAATATTTCCTGATATCACCAAAAAATAAATATTTACCAAAATAGTTTACCGTTTAAGAATTTCATACAAGAAGTAATCATTCAATTTTATTTTTAAGAAAACAAGTGTGAAAAAAGTACGAAATCTAATCAAAGTAGTATGCAATAAGATAAACTAATAACACCAATTGATCACTGAGTAATAGTCAACATCATATCGTTTTATCCGAAATTGGTTGCTGATTGACTCTAGCAACAAAATGGTCATAATGCCGCATTTACATGAAAATTCAGTCCATCAATAGAGATTTCTATGAAATTTACGATGCATGTTAGATGTTAAGTGTTGCATTACGGTCATCATTGTTTGTGTCAACCAAATGGCCTAATTTTCTTATATACGATTACTATTTGGTTTGTGCACAGATCCAACAATCGATATGTCTAACACTTAAATGGTTTTGGTAACTAGCTTCAGTGGAATAATTAAAATTACTAATACATCTGCTCGCAAAGCAGCTAAAAGATTATCTTTCATTTTGTTACTCTTATTCGGAATTGGACACAGTTGCAGAAAGCTTAAGGTGTGTACAGACTGTGAAGAAGTGATAAGTTATAATTACATGTAACATGTTCCTAACGCTTAAGTGGTCTTGTTCTATGGTTCTTGTGTTTGTTCTTTTGCATATTATATTCGATTTCTTTTTATCTGTAGAAGAGTTCTGTTTCCCGATGGCTCCAATTCAACGAAGCGTCGTTTCGACGCTCGAACTAATCCTCTTGGTGCAGCTTGGGCTAAGGACTATCAGGAAGCTGAAAATAATGTTTATACGAAAGCTCTGCTCGAACGTATACAGAGTAGAATGTAAGTATATTGTTGTTATTTAAAGTCATAAAGTGGTACTGGTTATGCTCGTTAATTTCCTATTTTTATGAGACTTTAGCTCAGTCATTTGCTTGCTGTTCTCAGTTAGTCGGTACAGTGATACAACAAACCTCATATTTGACATGTACATAAAATTTGGTCCCATGTAACCCATACAAATTCTTTCAGTAAAAGACCTTGTGGAATTTGATTGATTTAAACCTTGTCCTCAATGACTGCAATTATCCAAATAATAATTAAAAATCGTGTACCTTTCATCAGTCCACATATAATAATACCACGGGTTATTCTTTATGCTTATATACAATATTGACAATAATTGATGTTGTCTTGTGTGCGCTTGGAAACATATTTTGTAATATTTGTCTAGTCTAGAGTATGGAATAATGACCTGATATGAAAAGGTAATAACGTGATTTAAAGTCTCTACATTGCATTAAAATGGTTAACATGCCTATCAAGGCTGCTGTAGCACAGAGTTTTACGCTAAGAATCATAGTGATGATTGCCCATGAAGAGTGGATTTCCAAATGAGTTTAAATCGGTTGATAAACAAATCACAAACGAAACATGTATTATGTTTCAGTAAGTAACAGTTTACTTTTAAAAACACTTGAACGAAAAACATGAAAATCATTTAAAATTTATGATAAGGGTTTTAAGTAGGTTACTCCTTATCTGTAGATTTTTAAACTCAATATGTCCGGTACATCAGTTGTGCAGTAATTGATCGATCAGTGTTTAGAGAAAATTAAGCCTAATAATAAATTGTTGGATCTCTACTATGTATATTATTTCATTGATTAAAGTCGTTTATTCGTATTTTTATAGTTATTTAATAAATAATAGTATTTCATCAATAACACAGTGATTTAGATGTTAAGCGTTTGCGCGAGACCGAGCGGCATCGTGGATGCGCACTGCTGAGGAGTCCCATACTGGGACGAAACGGTTGTTCAGTGCATCCAGGTTTTCCATGGTGGTAGTTCGTTCTGTTTTATTTTGCTGCCTCGAAACGTCATTCGCATGCCCAATCACCGAATACCACGGTGAGCAATGCTGACTAGTTTTGGAGACGGCTGGAAGAAAGTTAGGGCGTCCAAACGAGAATGTGGCGTCCATAAAGTCACCAACTTCTGATGTGAGCCATGTTGGTAGATGTAGACTACTTGACTGTGGTGCATGCGAATATCGTAACTAGTTGTTGGAGAATCTGGGTGACATGACTCAGAATCGATCACAATCGTGTAGGTGTATATACTCTTTGTCTTCCCTTAAACCGTGAGATGAAAATTACTTTATACACTTCTTTCTACGAACTAATTCTTTTTCCCTGTATTATATGCTTATATGGAATGTTCTTATTATATATTTTGCTACTATTGAAGTAACTGCTTCTATGAGTTTGGTGTTAATCTTGTTGTGCTAATAAGGTATGGCAATATGGACCGATGCATAATTTTGTGTGGTTCTACGTTGTAAGTGACTGACTGACTAGAATTAGATAGGGTTGAGGGCAGGATAATATTTCGGATTAAATTTTGCATTATGAGATAAGGTTCGAATCAATCAATTGCTAATGCCTCTATGTGCATATGTTATCGATTTCCATTCTCTTGTTACTAGTACATCTTTCTTTGTAGATAATATTTAAAAATATCTGATGAGGCCTAGTGGTGGTTCTTAGCCAGTAGAACAGTCGCTTAGTTCTGAAAACCGTCAGCTTCCAACTTATTTGCTGCAGTTCTGAATTGTATTACATAAACCTCTACTTAGTCAGCCGAGTAGTTTCACTAGCACGCGCACAAGTAGTGTGTCTGAAGTTTGGGTAAATAAACATTTACTTGGTGAAGTTGAACCACATTATTTAATCAAGTAGTATCATTCTATTAGTTCTTTGTAAGGAATTACAGATACGAATTTCGTATCCGTTTAGGCAACTAAATAATATCACTGAGTTCAACTAAATTTTCAGCTCAAAATCGAATAGTTTAGCTTGTTTTTTAGTTACTGAAGATCTGCTAACGTTTTATTGATGCTCTCTAAATTTTCGGGATATACAATATCAAATTACAACTTAATAAAAGCAAATTAATATCGATCACGTCCAAATATTACTGTAGTGAACAAGAACACGAATGGGGACAATCGAATGTATTTGACACAAAATTACAGAGCATCTCAATAAAATCTGAGAACCATATAGTGAATCGTTAATGTGCAAAATATCAATCCATCGTCTCAAATTTCACTGTTCCTTTTGCAAATATCAGTCGATTGTCTCAGGTTTCATTGTTTATACATTTTCATATCAATTGCGTTCCGTTCCCGTTCTTTCTTCATCGACCTTATACCGAAATGCATTCTATGCCTGACCACCGTTTTATACTACTTATATGGATATAAGTAACCCACACTACTGCAGTAAGTTATTCAGTGTGAACAATTCACGGCATTTCAATGCATTTTCACAACATATTGCGTCAATAACAATCATTATAAATATTCTAATCACTATTTGTTGATAATACAATTAACAGACTTGATGTTTTTTGATTGGTTACACTGAGCGAACATCAAAACTCATCTACAAATCTAGTGTTCTTACTTTAATTAGTGGGAACGGGATAAAAAAAGATAAATTAGTATCGTCCATGGTATTGAATTCGAAGTAATGAAAGTATTGTCACAGTACATGAACGTATCAATGAGTTAGTTAACAGGATATAATACATAATTTAATACCCACATAAATTCGATTCACACTATCTCCATGTTTGTTGAGTTAAATTTGTATAGTCTACATTTATTTATATTTTATTAAGCTAAATAACACCTTACATATCAAATCCTACGTAGTTATTTTTTTGTGTTAGTGATAATATCGTTTCTGAATTATTGAATATCTGTTACATTAAAACTGAAGGTTAGGTTAAGTATGATTTAACTATACCATACTCCTACTTAAATTTAACTAACAGAATATCACTAAGCTTCGTGCTAAAGTGTAATTCCAGGCTCATATTACACGAATCGGTATTTGATCGTAGTGTACTTGAAACCTTATCTTCAATAAACTTTCCCACCTAGTATCATGTCTTTTTTTGTACAATGTTTTTCGTTTCTTTTGGTATTAAGACTAAAAATTATTGACCAGTTTAAACTGTTATCAGTTCTAATTTTCAACTTGTACTTGTAGATCTGCTAGCGTTGAACGAAATCATAAAATACCCCCAGCATGCTTAACTCGGAGTTCGCTTTGTCGAGTTGTCCTCTTTGATCATAATGATAAGGTAATTTACTTCATAATATAATTGTATTTCTCAATAAATTCGCACCGAAACATACGCGAGATGTTTTGTGTTCGAACTCATTCACCTACAATGTTGATGAGTAATATATGGAAATATAATTCAGTTTTAGTTGTATTTACGTCATTGCCTTTATTAAATTTAAAATATTTAACTGATTCATAATGGATCTGTTGACTAGTGTATTTTGTGATACTTCTGCTACACAAATAATAGTAGTGATTTGTTTCCAATTCATGTTTAACAGGTCCCACTATCACTTGTTTAGAATGAAGTTCAAACGTCGTTACAGCAAGAGATAATCTGTTCCCTAAGGTGCTATATCTTCAGATGTTTGGGCGAAAAGTGGTATTCACGTAGGCCCATATTGAGCACATATTCCGAAAACTCTTGAACCAATCATTATTTTCGTAGTATTTATGGTCATACTCAAAATTTATCGATAGGAGTGACGAAAACTGACCATAGTAGTTCTAATGACTGTCAGAAAAGACTTAGTTGATTAGTTCTCAGCGTTTGGTATTCAAATGTTTTGATTGTTCGTGGAATAAGATGTAATGAACTGCTTGGTATCCTGTTTAATTCTTCAGATATCATTTCAGTAAAATATAATAAAAGATTGTGTGAATTCCTTTTATTTTACTAGAATCTTCATATAAGCTCTTCGTTGCTTCCAGGTTTTCTATAGTGGTTAATTTTAGTTCGGTTCACGATTTTTGTTAATAGTGTTAAGGATCACAACACCTTCAGCGTGATAATAAATCCTATTCTATTGTATGGATTAAAATATTTTATATAAATAGTGAGCTCAAAATAACTTGTAGTGTTCCTCTCATAGTCTTCTGTATTACTTTTCCTTAATAAATAAATAATTACCATTCGCATAAAAACCAATGTTATAAATCTCTTTCAATAAGCGTTTCCACAAATATCAGTTTCTTCCAAACACTTTATATATTAGGTCACGTGTATGTTTTTTTAAGCTTTTTATTTCATAATACAATCACATTGGCATATTTTGCTCAAACACCATGTATTTGTTGTGGAAAAATAAAATTACCTAAAACGCTCTAGTTTGTTTGCTTTTACTCTCGTTATTTTACTTGTACCAATTAGTATTTATATATTCACTTAAGCATTGGACATTAACTGATTTTTATTCTGTCAACAGGGCTTAGAAGCATCAATCAGATTAGCACCGAATGAAGTTGTGACTGAAGTCCGAGGTCATTTCTTACTGATGGAAGAATATGAACACTATGTAGATCCCGTTTCCGAGTAAGTATATCATGGAGATTCTTTTCAATTTTCTTTTCTTATTATTAGTGTTACACATATTTTCTCATATTCTCTTAAATATGTTTTGCTTCTTTTCGCATTTTTTAGTTTTCAGTCTATATATATACATACATAATACTTAATTTGTTCAATTAAAAAGATAATCTAGTTGATTGATTGTCGTTCATCTACTATTATATGGTGAAGGGAAGATTTAAAAATTTTAATAACACATAAATTTCGTTATCTCTTTTAACAGCTATAATCGTTACGTTATGTTTTATCGTGGGTTCGGCGATCGGACGGTTGTCATTGACTCTGGTCAATATGGAAATAGTGCACGATTTGTTCGACGTTCATGTATACCAAATTGTAGAGTAGGTTTGAATCAAGGTCTTTTAACCATATTTATTGTTTACAAAAGTCTTTTTATCACCTAATTTGCGAATTTCAAAACAGGTCGTTCATTAGTTAGAATGATTAATCAAACAGCACTTATTCGACCTCTGTAGATCAGCAACCAGTGTAATATCGTTTGCTAACCTGGAGTCAAGAGCATTGTATAATATTTAGCATTCTTCAAAGTAAAGAATTTTGGTATCACGATGAATGTTGTTCAGTGCTATGCACCCACCAATGACAGCAATGAGGACGATAAATATCAGTTTTATGAAGGGCTGCAGTGGATCGTTGTGAAGTGTTAACGAAAGGACCTGATCATCCTGATGGGTGACCTAAACTCCAAGGTCGGAATGGATAACATCGGGTGCGAAGATATCGTGGACGACATGAACTGGAATAAAGAAACGATAATGGTGAGAGATTTGCAAACCACCTGGAGGTGGTGATTACTGGTTGCCAAGATCAAACTGAAGCTAAAGAAGCACTGGACAAATGAAGAAACAGCATTACAAAGGTTTCATTCAGCCTTCCCTAGAGATACTGTCAAACTTAGCGAATGCAAGATAGCTCTCTATAAAAGGTCACAAGTCTGACAAGATCTACTCGAAGGTTAGCGAACTACTTTAGAGGATAACTCAAAAGGAACCAAGGAAACACTAACTTCAACATGTCAAGAAGGACTGTCATAAAAAATGGATTTCTACCGATACCCTAGACAGGACTTAAGAAATTTAGAAGATAGCAATTATTAACAATCGGACAAGAGAAGAGAGAGTCAAGGTCAAGATCGAATACAGAAAAGCAGACAAGAGTGAAAAGGGAGGGGTATTAGAGACGACAAATAGAAATACGTGGTAGACCTAGCAATGACAGCGGAAAAGGCTGCTGAGAAGAAAATATGAGATAACTAGCAAGGAAATCAGAGACAAAGGGCAAATCAAGAATTGCGGGACAGGTGAGCAAAACAATTTGGGTAACTCTTGAATAGACAAACCCCACAAAATCCACCAAATTTCGAAGTAGCACATACAGATTTTCCTATAGATGTTACTCCTCCAACGATCGAAGAAATCAGCATACAAATCAAGAGTGCCGTGCAGAACGAACAGACAACATACCAGCTGAAGCACTGGAGTCGGACATAACACTGACTGCGAACATGCTCAACGTTCTATTCAGGAAGATTTGGAAGGAGGAATAAGTGCCGACAGACTAGAATTTGGGATGTTTCGTCAAGAAGTGAGATCCGAACGAGTGTGAGAGCTGTTGAGGCATTACACTGCTATCGATACCAGGAGACGTATTCGACAGAGTGCTTCTAAACCGGTTAAAGATTCAGTAGCCGTCCAACTTCGAGATCAACAGGTTGGATGCCGTAACAATCGGTCTAACAAACACCAAATTACACAGGTCATTGTTGAACAATCAGTTTAGTGAAAACCGTTATTATACATTAACTATGAGAAGGCGTTTAGTGGTGTGGATAGGAGAAAGACGTTATGCAGTCGTATTCAACACTATGGCATAGCTGACAAGATCGTCAACATCATACGATATACTACACTGCAATATTATGCATGGAAAACAGCCTACAGATGCAATCCCAGTGAAGAATGGTGTCGGACAAGACTGTTTGCCCTCTCTCGTTTTCATTCTTCTGATGGTCGAATGGATTATAAAGACTTCCACATTTGAATGGAAGCACGAAGTACATTGTACAGATTGGATGCAACCAGACACTTTGAACTAGGCAGATGACCCAGCTTTCCATCCCATACACAGCAAAGAATGCAGATAAAGACAAATAATATAGCAACATCTATTGCATGAGTAGGCCTCAACATCTTCATCAAAAAGACAAAATCCTTAAATACAACACAGAACACTAGCCTAATCATATATGTTGGAAAAGCTCTGGAAGATGTGTGACAGCATCGTCGATAAAGATGCATGATTTGATATAGATGTATAGGCCAGGATTGGGCAGCATTTCCACAATTGAAGATGACATAGAACTCCCAATAACTGTCAGCCAACGTTAAAGTTACAATCTTCAATACGAACGTAAGACAGTTTTACAGGGCGGGGCTGAAGCTAAGAGAACTAATAGAACCATCATCAAAAAAGTACAAATATTCGTAAACAATTGTCTACTCAAGCTTCTCAATATTTGTTCGCCGGATACCATCGGCAACAGTCAATCGTGGGAGGAAACAAACTGTTATAACGTGTGATCCGCCTATTAGAGAGCAGCCTATTATCGATCGAAAACAGTGACGCACAAAATACGACCGAGCAGCCTAGAGCTCTGATTGGTCCTGCTTCCCTGTCTAGCCCAGCCAATTGAGTCCAGAACACAAGTCTCAGCCTCGGAGATATGAATCATTATATTTCAAACACACTCGGTTTATATACCGATCAAACAGACCACAACGTACCAATAAAATATGAAACAACATTCGTACAATAATTAGCCAGATGTAGCTGTGAATGAGGGAGATAGGAATCAATAGATAGGGCATAACTCAAGAATGGTAAATCGTACAATGATAGTTCATAGGTCGAAATAAAACTCATAATAAGAGGGACATGGATATGAACAGACTAGTTACGTGACAATTATACGGTAAAAATATACTCATAATATCGGTCCATAATTGGATCCCAAGAATTACCATTCAATATTCTTATCGGGATACAACATCTCCCCTTTTTAAAAGAGATCCGGAGTCGATATCCGGATTTTAAATTTTCCGAGTTCATCCTCCGCCACGAAACAGTGTTGGATCCTCATATACCCAAGCTACCATTAATTTGACTTTATTTAAATAGTATTTGTCACATTGAGCAGAAAATTTTCTAAAGTTGATTAAATGGTGAGGATCAACGTCGCTTGATATGAAGTCATCAAAGTTTGATTCTTCTGGAACATTGTCATCGGATTTCTGGAGAAGCTCATCAGTAGATAGTCGATCACTAGAATAATCAGCATCTATCAAAATTTTATTAGGTTCTTGATCATCGTTTGAAGCACTGGACAAATTTTTCTCAATTTTGTAAATTTCATCAAAAGCATAGGAGTCATTGAGATAATTCATATTTGATAAAACTAGAAAACTCCAATGAGTAGATTCATCAGGAACTTTTGTTCTGGAATGATGAACTCTATTTGATGCAACTGTCGTCATTATGATGCTTGACTCAATTTCTGTCTCTTCGTGAGCGGGTACTGCAGGAATTTCATGAGCGTTTAATAAGACGTCGACTTTCTGCGAGCTGTTTGTACATGGTGCTTCAAGGGCAGTGGGATTTGAACCCACGACAGGGCATGTCTCTGAAATGGACATTACTGGATCACTGGGCGCATCGTGAATGACTGTTTCACTTACATTACTGCTCATCAAGGATTCATAGAGGCTTTTATCAGCACATTCATATGTACTGCATTCCGTTTCCAGCTCCGTATGCAAATTAGAAATTAATTTATCAACTTCTGTGACATCTCCGAAACATGGATGATTTAGGAGCCGTGTACGTAAATTGTTCAAAACATTCAGCTGGCTATTTTTGAACCGCTGCGTTTGTCGCTCAAATAGCAATTGTAATTGATCGGGACAGATAGCCATTTTTTGAATCAGCACGGTGATGAGAAATGTTGTATGATTAATTAACGACCAATGTCTTTCAAGGACGCCGATGACAAAACTGAATGCTGATTGCCCGAAATAATTAGACCGAATCTCGTCCAATTACATGTCAACATTGAAGATTGAGGGTTCAGAAATTTTTTTCTACCCCGTCGCCAATTGTTATAACGTGTGACCCGCCTATTATCGATCGAAAACAGTGACGCACAAAATACGACCGAGCAGCCTAGAGCTCTGATTGGTCCTGCTTCCCTGTCTAGCCCAGCCAATTGAGTCCAGAACACAAGTCTCAGCCTCGGAGATATGAATCATTATATTTCAAACACACTCGGTTTATATACCGATCAAACAGACCACAACGTACCAATAAAATATGAAACAACATTCGTACAATAATTAGCCAGATGTAGCTGTGAATGAGGGAGATAGGAATCAATAGATAGGGCATAACTCAAGAATGGTAAATCGTACAATGATAGTTCATAGGTCGAAAAAAAACTCATAATAAGAGGGACATGGATATGAACAGACTAGTTACGTGACAATTATACGGTAAAAATATACTCATAATATCGGTCCATAATTGGATCCCAAGAATTACCATTCAATATTCTTATCGGGATACAACACAAACCAACTTCCAGGTGAAGAGGAAATTTGGAAGTGGATAGGCCATACATTACGGAAATCACTAAATTGAATCATGAGGCGAAACCTAGCTTTAAATCCTGAAGAGAAAAGGGAAATAAGGAGACCAAGAAACACACTGAGTCGGAAATAATTAAACTAGACTTCAATCTATGCTTTAACTTGGGATTCAGAAGGCAAATCAAAAAGAGGTAGACCAAATGATATATTGAGCTGTGAATTTTTAGTGGAAATCAAAAGAATGGATAGCATTTAGAAACCACTAAACTGGATTGCCGATATTAGGTTCTTTAAAAGATCTTGGTTGGCGGCCTATCCTCCACGAGAGGTAACAGGTGTAAGTAATATTTAGCTACTCACTATAGTAGATGGATGTGGTGTGTATTTGCTAGATGATGTTATGTTTCAGACTTTCTTAAGCGTTTTTGTATAGTTTCTTTTCTTGTATGTTTATATTTCACCTTTCTATGTATTTACGTAATTGGATATTCTGTACTCTTTATTTTTTGCCGTTACTCTCCAGCTCGAACATTACGTTGTTCAAAATAAACTTAAAATTGTAATTCGTACATCTGTTGAAGTAATGCCCGGGACTGAGTTAACCATACCTTTTGACTTGGACTACCGAGCGTGTCGTTATCCTTTGGATTGTGCTTGTGCAAGATCTCGTTGTCCTGTTCTAAAGTGGCGACGAAAATTACTTCGAAATAAAGTGGTGCCTAATTTGGATTATAGTAAATATATTGAATCACAGCTTAGAGTGTGAGTTTTGTGTTTCCATATGTTAGTAAAATTAAGCTGTAAATTTCGATGATATATTAATTGTTCATATGGTCAATTTTTGTTATGCACTGTTGTATCAGATTATTTAAATGGTTATCAGTAAAATAAGAAGAATACTAACATTATTTACCCACCATTTGAACAATTTACTTTGTTGATAATATGTTATATGCATTGACTAAAGCTTTTCTGGGAATAAACTAAAATTGAAAATAATTAGGTTGCTGATTTAAAAAAATATCACATGTAATGGAAATCAGAGCGTTTCTATATCAATATTTGATCGTCATTTTTATTGCTTTTGATTTCCAACGAAATTTTTTTAAATTGTGCAATGCATAAGTATTTTTAGATTTACCACTCTTTGTTTTTATCACTCATTTTGTTAAATTTATGTTGCAGACTTTCCAAACCTTTATCTCAAGAAAGTCCAACAAATAGATCCTTTGATTCCAGTAGTTTAACAGCATCTCCATTAGTAAAAACATCTGCCACTTCAAACAGTGCTGTTAATCAACCTATCGGTCTATCACCAAATATTAATTACAATTTGTATAATATAAAATCATCACCGGGTACTTTCCGTAAAGAGGTTGAGCTACCCATCCACGACTGTGATTCTTTGATTGCTGAAAAAACAAATCAGAGTGATTTAGATTTAAATAAAACTGAACATTTAAACAGTTCTGTTTCCTTGAACTGTACATCGTCTTCTACGGTTATAAATCAATGTGAAAGTAGTGAACATGTTAACTTAGATCTTATCAATTCTGAGAGTAAGAATGTTACCGAATCTGATTTCGTAACTGACGAAAATCAAATTCCTGAAACTTCTCAACCTGTGGATATATCAGCTGAAAGCAATTCAAGAACGTCTTCAACGAAGATTAAAGATACTTCATTTCGGAAAAATCAAAATACGAGTGAGGAAAAACTGGTACGTTTTTGTTATTGCATTATCCTGTTAGCATTAATCCAAAATGTATTATCACTTATCGAGTTTTCCTCATTCATTCATTGCGAAGTACCAGCTTACAAACGAATAGTAAAACTATGGTTGAATATTACCCTATCGATATCTTCGTTATAGCTTTCTAAAGCTTTGATACATTTTGTTTGTGTTATTGACCTTAATCCTTTGACTTTGAAGTCTCAAATTGCCAGAAAAGAATTAAGTATTAGAGGTTTTCTTCGTCTGTATGCTTATACTAGAAACACAATCCACGGCACATTAGTAGCATGATAGCTCAATCCCTAACAATAATGTATGCTCCAAAACTGTAGTCCATGAAGAGCGTAGTGTACATCCACTGCCGAAATGTTTGTTTTACATGATGCTCCCGCATTGTAAAACTTAAATTTGTTGCGGACGTGACCTATTCAAATGTAGATTTTCGGCATACTCATGAACAAGCATTTTACATTTATTCTTGTAAATTTCGTAATGCTTACTAGTGAAATAGACCAATTGCTCTTAATGCACACTAAAACATCCTGGTGCCATGAATATTTAATAGCGAATTTCTCCATTGTAACAGGCGCACTTAAGTGTAGCGTGATTAGTCTTGTCATGTCAAGTTGGAACATTAACGGCAATGAGATGAAATGACTGAACATCAGCACTTCAATTTCAGTTGATTGTACTGTCATATATATATATATATATATATATATATATATATATATATATATATATATATATATATATATACCATTCTCAATCATCAGTAGCTATTAAGCATTATAATTTCTTAATATTTTTTTACCATTTTACATCTTATGTTCACTCAGATAACGATTGTTACAGAATATTTCTTAGCACTAACCATATCTTTCATATTTCTTGTATTTGATCAAACCTGTTGTAGATTACTAGACTTTTCAATATATCTGCCTTTCGTAAATCACGGGTTCTTTATCTTCTGTATCTTTTAACAGCCTTTCGAACCTATCATTACTACAAGAAGGCAGGCTGCAGCTATGAAAAATATCTTAAGATAGTGGATGTTCAAAGCTTTGACTGCTAGCAAGGTTAGTAACTTTTCTAACTTGAAACTTATTTCAGTCAGCAAGATAACTTTTTGTTTTGTTAATATTTTGATTTCTTTTCCTTGTATATTGTCATTCAACAATCTTTGTCTTTTTTTCCTTGTCCTTATTTAGTTTAGTGTAAACTAACTTGTGTTTTCATTCTGTTTGCGTAATTGGAATATTAATTTCTTGTTCCCCGATTTCATATAACGATGATGATAATGATCTTACAGTGTAATTTTCCTCTCCACTTTGTAAATGCTTTGTTTCCTTTTGCATTGTTGATTTCGCCGTGTTTTGTAAATGACGTGGTCTGTATTCTTTTACTTGGTTCTGTGTATATTCTATTATTATTATTATTATTATTATTATTATTATTATTATTATTTGCCAGTAAAGTAATGAGAGAAATTCGCATAAAATGTCGCATATCAAAAAGGAATACTTCCGAAGTAATCTAGAGCTCCGATTATTGCGATTGTATTATTTTCTTTTACTCAACAAAGATATATAACGTTGAAAATGCCTTTTTCTCCATACATTTGAGTGTTTTTGTATTGCGTGTTTTTATTGCTGAGTACTTTCATTTATAGTTAGATGAGATTTGATGTAATTCATTATATGGAACTTCATTACGATCAAATTGCCGAAATCTGTCGTCTGTTATATTGTCGTAAGTTGCACATTAATAATAGATGACTTAAATTAGTGGTTAAATATACCTTTTTAGAATTCTTTTTCAGTCGATAGAACAGCACAAACTTCTTTGTCCTTCTTTCCTGATTAATGAGTAAAATATGACATTAATTTTGACACATCTTCAACCCAATAATCATCGATGTCCAGTTAAATTACCAATACGTTATTTAGACAAACATGTGAATAAATTTCGCTCCAAAATCCAAGACTTGTTATCATAGATCTGATTGGTTCGTCCATAAATTATAGTCTCGCCACCAACTTCTCTTGTAAATCACCTTTTAACGACTAATCCAACTAGTTTATATGTGATTCAAGTACAGCTGTACAGTTTGTTCTCACGTACTATTCTTAACTTTGGATCATCGCACAATACCTAGTTTTTAGGAATATCTCAATATTATTCTTAGGAGAGAGACCCTCGAAACCAGTAATACTGGTGATTTGTGTACGAATCCACTATTCGTGTTTCATTGCACTCTACTTGATGGCATTTTTACGACTTTTTGCATAGATTAAACATTGTTTTATTTATTGGATCATATTTTACAATGTTATCTTTCTTACAGTTTTTAAGAACTATTTACACATCTTGCCATTCAGGTCGAAAATTAACAAATGGCTTACAGCCGTCATTTTCCAGTCTAACGTTTCACTTTATCGGCTGATTCTTAAGGAAAGACAAAATAGTGTGGTTACGTACGCATTCTGCTGGTGGTTAATTGATTGGGCGTGTTAAAAATCCCCTTTAATCAATTGTAGGAGGTTACGCCGAGATGTCGTGAATGCTGCGCAAGATCGCCTAAAGGTTTTTTCGCCTTCACTGTGGCATTGATTTTCTGAATTACACAGCTCTAGGTGGGTTATAACACGTTCATAATAACATTTTTGCTAGCCGGTATTCAATTCAATCCTTAAACTTCCTATACAGTTCGTCCTGATAACCGTCACTAGATAACGCTCCAATGGTGTAATAATCAGAAGCTGAATAGGAAGTGTTGGTTACGTTTATTATTGCACCACGCACAGATAACCAAAATTACAGGTGCGCTAAACGAACATGAAAGAGTAGTGCCGACAAGCAAGCAGACAAGTGAGTGAGTGTGAGAGCCGAATGAGCAACTGAATGAACAGAATTAAAATGTACATCTATATACATAGGGAAATGAGTGAATAATCTAATCAATTAAGCGACTGACATTAAAGCTAGCAGAATGAATATGTGCGTCGGCAGTAAGCAATCCTCAAGCATACATATTCATACACGTGCAATGATTTGTTATTGTACGAATGACTCCGCTAAATAAGTTAACAAAAGGTCTTAGCCAAATTAAATGTGAACAAACACAGTTGCACGTGAGCTGCTATACATTAAAAACTTATGTAGTGTCTGCGTTCGATGTTTTTAGTGAGAAGGGTTACGTTCGTCATTTCTGATCTTATGTATTTATATGCGTCTACTATACAACTTATTGTTTTTAGGACCGAAAGCAGGCTAAGAAATATTGATATTCATATGATTTTAATCACAGTATAAACTAAATAAACAGGGGCAATTAGCAGTTGAGAGTTATCCTTCAATTCATATGAGTGGTTAAAATGGTGATTATCAATGAAAGTTTATAATTTCAACCTTATTTACAAATAGATCTAGATAAGAATCGAAGCCTCAGACTGGTTCTTTTGGACTGCAAGCATGTGTTCTAGAATAACCTTGAGCTTTCCCTCTTTTTGTTATAATTTGATGAATACCGTATGGAAGGCAGATTTACATTGTGATCCTGCAATCTTATATTATCCCCAACCATCTTTGATCTTCTGTTAGCTGTTTTACCTTCTTTTGTATACTTAATATGGTCACTGGTGAACCATATTAATAGTGCCTGAGAAGTTTATTAACATATTAAAGGCCTTATATACAAACACCTCAGGCAGAGTAAGGGCATGCAACCACCTTTCTCCATTATTCTATTCGAGCAGTGGGGTTAGACAGGGTTGCCCAATCTCACCATTCCTCTTCAACTTTGCCATCGATGACATTCTGGAAGCTCCTCTAATGGATGTAAGTAATGGCGGTGTGGGTCTGTTGCCTGGAGAAAGACTTCTCGACCTTGAATATGCGGATGATATTTTCTTACTGTGCGAGAATGCCCAAGCCATGCAATCCGCATTTAATCAGTTGGCAATCAATGTCCGTAGGTATGGTATATGCTTTGCACCTTCGAAGTGCAAAGTACTTCTACAAGACTGGCAGGATTCTAATCCCGTACTCACCCTGGATGGTGAGCAGATAGAAGTAGTCGAGAAGTTCGTGTATCTAGGTAGCTGCATAAGTGCTGTTGGTGAGGTGAGTGATGAGATCAATGCACGTATAGTGAAAGCCAGAGTGGCTTACGCCAATCTGGGCCATCTTGAGCGCCTTCGTGATGTTAGTCTGGTTGTAAAAGTTCGGATCTACAACGCGTCGGTGAGAGAAGTTCTGCTCTATGCTTGTGAAACCTGGCCTCTCTGAGCTGAGGATGCTGGACGACTGTCTGTGTTCGATCATCGCTGTCTCCGAAGGTGTTATAATTTTCTCTTACAGTTTTAACCCAGCTATTCCTATTGCTTAGTATTCGCGGACACAGATTCACTCGACAAGTCCCCAAATCAGAACACGGTTGAACAGGAAAGAGATTATATTCCAAATAACAAGGTTAGATGGAAGTGAGAAGCACAATAGGAAAACCGTTATTATCACAGCCCTCACACAAATCAATTGAGATTTGTGTGGCGCATATGTATTTGGTGCCTTCTTGTACCGATATCTATGTGTTAAAATAAATAAATAAAATTATAAACAAATATTTAAATTTGTTTTGGATAACCAAACACGATGTCAATAAACATCACGGTTGCTATTCTGTTATAAATTAATCTGTGACTGCTTAAAGTACCTTATGTTTTCTCTAAAGAAAGTGCTCATGTTATTCATATACGTTAAGGAATAAATGAATTCCTGTCTGTAAATTCTAATGCGTTTTTAAATTTTATATACCTAATGAGAACATATGTTTGATACAGATTTAAAACAATTAAGTTTGTAAAAAAGCCCAAAAATCAATAAGATTTATCCAGCCTTTTGTGCGTTAAAGAAAATTGTTTTCTTCGTATATCATCTTATTCCAGATAGAGGACATGACCCCTTTATACGACTGAAATTTTTAAAATGTATTTATATAAACATGAAGAAAATCAATGCACATAGTTTCATATGGTCATCTGTAATAAATCAAATTAATACTGAAGAGAACCTGTATGCAAGTTATTTTTATATACCGTATGATGTCTTTGTGGTGTGTCTGTTAACTCACTACAGTTTGAATATATTTTTAGCTCACATAACATCACATGCAAAGGACGAGTTGAAATTGTACGTTAATCGTAATTTTTTTACTCCAGATCACAAGGCACTCGATAGATAAAATTCTTCATAGTTGTTCGGACTTAAGTACTTCACAGGCGTTTAGTCATCTTAAAAAAATAAATAAAAGTCTAGCAGAATAGATCTACTTAAACAGATAAAAATTACTTTTGAACTGTTTTTCTGTTCAATGTTTTTATTGTCGCCACAGTATTTAATTGGAAAAGTATCCATTCCCCTAATGGTTATAATAGTTTTAAGAGGATAAAAGTACTTTATAACCTTTAAGACAACTTATTTTCAAATTAGCACAACTAAGCATAGTGTGAGAGCTCAGTCGGAATAATTACAACACCTAAACATTGTGTCTGCTCGTCATTATTATGGGGTAATTCAAACGTAGACATTCTTCAATTAGGTGATGTTGAGTTGTAAATTTTCCGAACTTTATTCGAATGCAGTTGCATCTGTTCATAACCTTTTATTATTTTGATATGTTTGATTTATTTCAGCTGTTCTCTCAGTTCTCTATTATTTTCGAAAGTATGTTTTTATCCCACTCAGCTGACTCATTTGAAATCAACGAGATTCAACTAATGCACATCAATATCTTTAACTAAATGTGATATTTAAAATATCTACGAAACAAGTCCTTTTTTATGTAGATTGGGAACTTGAGGTCGCAATAACAAATTTACAACTGGTTCCTTATTGATAGATTAGAATATACTTTAGATCGAAAAGAAGTTATTTTATCTTGGCGACTAGTGAATATATTGAATAGAACAATATGCGGAATCGTTCAATTAAAACTCGCATTCTCTGACTAAGCCAATAGCATTGATTCCCACAACTCAGCTGTGGTCTATTCTAATAGTGATGGACCTACACAGATTTCTCCCAGTCAGAACACAAGTGAAGAGAGTCGATGTACCCTGTATTATTCTCATTTGAAAAACCACATGAATATGTATACTAGACATAAGATCACAACGCACCAAAAATAAGGAATCTCAATATGTACACAACCAGGTCGTTCGTGGTACGAAACTAAGTACTTACTTACGTTTGTTACTCCTAATGGAGCATAAGGTGCCGACCAGCACTCTCCAACCCACTCTGTCTTGGGCCTTCTTTTCTAGTTCCATCCAATTCTTGTTCATTTTTCTCATGTCAATCTTCATTTCCCGGCGTAATGTGTTCTTTGGTCTTCTCCTTCGACCTTGAGGATTCCATGTGAGGGCTTGTCTGTGGCGCAGTTCGGTGCTTACCTAAATGTGTGCCTATTCACTTCCAGCGCTTATTCCTGATTTCCTCCTCCACTGGGATCTGATTTGTTCTCTCCCACAGTAGCTTGTTGCTAAGAGTGTCCGGCCAACGGATCCGAAGTATTTTGCGTAGACAACTGTTAATAAACACCTGTATCTTCTGGATATTATTCATTTATTTTAACACATAGATATTGGTACAAGGAGGCACCAAATACATATGCGCCACACGAATCTCAATTGATTTGTGTGAAAGCTGTGATACTGCCCGGGTGCCCAAACCAAAGCCTTCGAACTGGACGTCTGACCCACAAGGTAGTGGAGCATCGTAAGGAGATGCAGTCCCATGGTAGCCGGTGACCAACGATTGGTTCATACGCCATTTTTTCCTTCAGGATACTGGAGCCAGCCCATGTGCACTGTTGGTTTGGGATCCGGTTAAAGCGCCGGACATTCGCTTTTCGTCCTCTCGTTTTCGTAAACAACACCTCCGTCACGAGAAGACAGTGAGTAGGACTTCCCTGGCAGAAGCTATATACGCGTGTCCATGTGAGAGCATTTCGAGAGGGAGAGCAGACTCTCTGGATGATAGCTTTCGCGGTTTTCCAGGTTTCCTGCCCCATACAGTAGAACTGTCTTCACATTTGTATTGAAAATTCTGAGTTTGGTGTTGGTTGACAGTTATTTTGAGTTGCAGATGTTCTTCAGCTGTAAATATGCTGCTCTTGCTTTACCGATCCTCGCTTTCAAATCTGCATCAGATCCACCGTGTTCATCAATGATGCTGCCCAAATATGTAAAGGTTTTTACATCCTCCAAAGCTTCTCCGTCAAGTGTGATTCGATTGGTGCGTGTTGTGTTGTATAGGAGAATCTTGCTTTACCCTTTGTGTATGTTGTGACCTACTGCTGCTGAGGTTGCTGCTACACTGGTTGTCTTCTCCTGCATTCGTTGTTGCATGTGCGAAAAAAGAGCCAGATCATCTGCGAAGTGTAGGTCATCCAGCTGCATTCTAGCTGTTCACTGTATCCCATGCTTCCCCTCAGATGTTGAAGTCTTCATAATTCAGTCGATCACCAGAAGAAAGAGAAAGGGTGAGAGTAAACAACCTTGCCTGGCACAGGTCTTTACTTCGAACGAGTCTGTGAGCTGTCCTCCATGCACGATTTTGCAGTTGAATCCATTATAAGAATTCCGTATGATGTTGCCTATCTTCTCAGGCACGCCGTAGTGTCAAAGAACCCTCCATAGTGTTATCCTGTTCACGCTATCAAATGCCTTCTCGTAGTCAATGAAGTTGATGTAGAGTAGCAAATTCCACTCAATTGGTTGTTCCACAATGATCTCTAGTGTTGAGATTCGGTCAGTATATGATCGATCCTTACGGAATCCTACCTGTTGGTCGGGAAGTTGGGCGTCTACGCAGTCCTCCATCGTGTTTAGCAATACCCTGTTGAAGACTTCCTGGTATTGAGAGAAGAGTGATGCCTCTGTAGTTCTCACAATTGCTGAGATCGCCTTTCTTTGGTATTTTGACGAGAAGTCGTTCTTTCCTGTCTTTTGGTACCTGTTCCTCATCCCAAATCTTTCTGAAGAGAATGTGGAGTATCCTTGCAGTTGCCGCTACGTCTGCTGGAATGTTGTCTGGTCCTGCTACTTTGCCACTCTTGATTTGTCTTATTGCCATGCTGATTTCTTCAATTGTTGGTGGGCCAACATCGATTGGGAGGTCCGTGAGTGCTGCTTCGATGATGGGTGGTTCAGTGGGGCTGGTCGATTCAAGAGTTCTTTGAAGTGTTCTACCCACCTGTTTTGTTGTTCTTCAATGTTGGTGATTACCTTGCCTTCCTTGCTTTTCATTGGTCGTTCTGGTTTACGGTGATTTCCAGAGAGTTTCTTTGTTGTGTCATGCAGATATGGTCGATTTGGTTTTGCGTAGTGTGATCCGGCGAAGTACATGTGGTTTTGTGTATGCGTTTATGTGGGAATATAGTGTCGCCTATGACCAGTTTATTGAAGTCACATAGGTTTGCAAATCACTCACCATTTTCGTTCCTTTCTCCCATCCGTGTCGTCCCATGATGTCTACATATCCTATGTTGTCCATTCCAACCTTCGCATTTGAATCTCCCATCAGAATGGTCAGGTGTTTTGTTAGGCACTTCTCGACGATTGACTGCAGCTTATCGTAAAATTGATCTTTAGTCTCTTCATTGTAGTCGTTAAGAAACTAAGTAACAGACATATAATTAGTCAACAGGATAATATCAGATGCGAACCTGCTGAAAATCAAGGGGGATTGAATAGTGGTTTCGCTTTCCTGTTGCTCAACTTAGAAATGCAAATCCATAACTTTCACAAAATCAAGCTTATGACCGAGCTCATAGTGGGAGCGTTTAATCTACGTCACTGTGTCAATAATTCATATTTTGAAATGGCATCCATCGCCGACTTCCAAGGCCAATCGTCCAACGTCGTCGATGAAATCTATCTAATCGTAAAATGACGTAACTGCACTACTGAACGCTATACTCTAAGATTTTAAAGCATAAAGTGGTTGGTGAATACTCGGTTGAAAACAAGCAGTTATATGTTGAGACAGTTATTTTGAATAAAGCTTTAATTAAACGCATTCTAACGAAGAAATTTCACCTCGTAAGAGATATGTGTGACATGATTCTGTTGATCATATGGGTTACAGTAGTATTCGTTCTAAATAATGATTCGTTTGTGCTTGATTGAGAGCTTACCATGAATTACAAATATAATACTTTTAATTGTGCTCATCTAGTTCTGTTTTTCCTAAAATGTACTAATCCGAGAAATCTTAGTTAACGCAGTAATTCGAAAACACTTAATTATGGTAAAAACATGTTTTCTTTGCTTCAAGTGGTGAACTGAAGTTTTGTTGTCTGGCTAGAAAAAAATGTACTAATTTGGAAGTTAACACATTTCACTGTTACTTGAGAAGCAAAATGTAGTGTATTTCAAATATGCTAAGTCATTATCTAGGCATATAATAGTGAAGCAGCTATCTTGTAGACGCTAAGAATAATGAAGCCTCGTTTGTTTCGTTTTACAGTTCGTTATTAATTCCGAAAAATTGAGATTTTCATCAGAAGAATTAGTACATAATGTATTATTTGGAATATAAGGCCAATTAGTCACATAGTCCTTGAACTCTTCACAAATCTGGAAAAGTTAATATTGTTGTTGTTCGTCACTGGCACAGTCGCAACTAAGAGAGTATGTAGAAATGTGATCAGATAATCAATAATTCACACAACGGATTCAGTACCACAAATATTGCTGCTGGAAATCGTCTCAAAACCCTGACGGTGTTTTAAATATCGAGTAACGAAATCAAAGGCGAGACTAGGTATCTAATTAGTTTATCGCTATTTATATCTTCAAGAAATTACATGTGAGATATTTATTAAACATTTTTATAGTCAATCATTTTCTATTTCTATAACTTGGATGTATGAGACGGGAAAATAATGATTGGCTGTTTACCTAGTCAGATTAATAGATAATGTGCCAAGTATTAGATATACTATATATTTGACTTCTTATGATAAGTAGAAGTATTCGAATTACTGCACTAACTAGTAAATCCCGGAATAGAGTGATTTACTGAAAATAGATGAACACAAACAGATGTACTGCTTTTGGAATTCGAAATAATCTGCCATCCAAGTTCAAAAGAGAATGATTAACTCGTACAAATAACACACCCGTCATGATTTCAATTGGAATCTAAAATTCTATAATCGACTGCACTTCTTCTTAGGCTCATTGTATGTCTATTCAACTGTGTAATGTATGTAGGCTCTGTAACGTTGAAGTAGTTGTAGAATTGACGTTTCTTTAAAAGGTTTGGAAATGTTTTCCGTGAACATGAGGATGAGAGGACTGTGTAGTCGTGCGCAATTTTCCGTACTTTGATTACGCTGTCAGTACGTTGTCAAGCACTTCATTGGAACCATCTCCAGTGGTCATTATAAAGAACCTGACCCTGAAACATTTTTACATTTTCTGGGTCTAGTATAGACGGTTGACGCTCAGTGATGAGAAATGCACAATTCATAATTGAAGATTTATCATCTATTATCGACAAATTACATCGTCCAACAATAAAGAGTTTATGATCAGTAATACTTGAAATGGAAACTTTGGTAAGCATAATTATAGCGTCAGCATTTAATGACTTCAACATCGCAACTGAAATGATGGACTTCAAAATGCAAATATCAACAGTAAATTCATTAAAAGCACCACTGGAGCGATTTAATGTATTGAATATAAAGTCAATAACTGGGAGTTATAAATATCGAAGGACCTAAATTAAAAAGTTGAGTATGATATGCGCAAAATTAACAGTAGATTTAGAAACTGACTTCCTTTGTCCAATGTACACCCAGTCTCTCATGTTTTTAGAGAATTCTGGGCAAATTTTGAAAAAAACCTGGAAAAGTCAAACGACCTTCACCAAAGTTTGACGAAAAACCCGAAATTTAGGGGAATTTCGGTTAAATCCTCAAAGTTAAATGGCCCTGACCAAGGTTGAAGGGATATTTCGAGAAATATCGTAGAATTTTCCCAGATCTTTGGAAAATTGGGTGTTTTAGTTCTACTTCACCTAAATTGGTCAAATTTTCCCTAAAATTGGGAGCTCGGGCCACATTTAGCATTTCGAAATCCAAAACAATTTCATAAGTGAAATTTGTAAAAACAAAAAATTGAAAAAGTTTGCTCACTCTAGTGTCCTGTTTACAATTCCTTGTCGATTTACTTTTAATAATACCACAAGAACAGATGTTACGCGGGTAATCAACAATTAACGAACAGTGGATCAGATCTAAAATTGCAACACACTGA